GTGCAGGAGTCCTGGTAGATAAGCCACAGGTTGGAAGATGATTGCTCCCACACCGATGAGTAGCTGATGTTTAATCAGAGTAAACATTTTTCTTTAGAGGAAAACAAAGAGAAGCAGTTCAAATGACTGGCCACTGGATTTGGGCAGGGGATGGTCTTCCAAACTGGAAGGTTTTCAGAACTGTCCATCATCTACAGGTCTTGGCTCAGATGTTTTACTGCTGCCAGATGCAAGGGCTTTGAGTGCTGTTATGGAATTGGCAGACATGAGCAGTATTTACCTGTCTCCCCAACTAAAAATGCCAGCATCCAGTGACTCAAATCTCTGTAGCTGACTTGCTCTTTCCTTGGGTCACCCGTCATGGTAAGGTAGGATGTGAACTTCTTCAGCACCTTGCTTGGGAAACAACATCAGGGAGCACATCTGATTTACTCAGGAAACATCTCATTATTTCTGACATTTGAAATCAGAAACCAAGTGTTAACTGAGCATAAGAGTTTTGATAGTATTATAGTCTTCTGTGGCAACCAATTAACAGCAGGCTCTGAGATTGGCAAGTATACATTGAAGAGGACCAGCTGGCTTTGACAGAATCTGACTATTGGTATAGTCTTAATGTTTTCTGATCACCTTGGTCCATGTGTTTGAGCCATTACAGGCACAGATGATAAGAATCTGAATTTGGCAGTGGATGTTTAGCAAGAAAGTGAATGGCACAAATGGAAGAGCTGTGGAAGCAAGAGGCCAGCGTTAATGTAGTAGGCAAGAATAGCAGTGACAACTGACACAGAGCAAAGCACCTTTGAAAACCATAAAATCAGAAAAGCATTACCAGAAAGACCTGTCAAAACTGATTAAAATCGGGGAACTAGCAGAAATCACAAGAATGAGCAGGACCACACACATAGTTTTTGATGATGTGTGAACACAGTCCCCCACCTTGACCACCACCAGACAGCACTGGAGGACGACAAAGCACAAGAACTGGGGGGTGTCCACAGTGATAGGACCTGGAATTTTTCTCCAGTGGGAGAAACAGCTGCCAAATTCAGCAAACTTTGTTGGTGGAGCTGATGTGGTTGCTCTGTAAGAAAATACGGATAACGTTTCTTTAGGAACCCAGCAGACAACTGGAGAAAAGATGCACGGAAAAAAGAGAAACCTTCTGTAACATAGGTCTGGCTCCAGTACACAATGCATTTTGCATGTCTCAGGAGTGTACTATCTCTATTTGCACATTTTAAAATCCTGCATAGTAGCATAAACAGGATGGCACGAGAAGGTTGTGGGAGTCGAGAGAACTGTGCTATGAAAGGAAGAGACCCTCATCAGTATTTCTGCCATCAATACTTTGGGGAGGAAAGAAAAGAGAAAATCCCAAACCCCAAGCCCCACACTAAATATGCCACTAAATATGCACTTGTTCTCTCGGGCCGGCAGCCTCGAAGTTCATAAACTCGGAATTACCTTGTTTTGGAATAAGCTGTTCTGAAAATAATTTCCAATGGCTTCACCGAGTTTGCTTTGCTGGTGGCAGCCCTTTGGCTCCAAGCTGGCATGTGTATGAAGCTCTTTGAACAAGTTTTGACCTTCCTTTTGCCCATCAAGCCGGGTAATGACATGCTTTGTATTGCACAGAACACATACAATTGACAAGTTCATAGTGGTGTTTAAATATTAAACAATCTAGACAGGTTTTTGAGTCTTATGCCACTAGGAAAAGGCTCAGACCATACCCATCTTTGAAATTGGGCTGCGGGATCATTTGCACAGTAAGACAGACAATAAGACTTGTATACATTGCCATGCAACAGAAGAGACCCCGAACCGCCAGCCCTAAGTGGAAAGTTTATTTCTAAGCACAATATATGGAAAAACCAAACCAACAAACCCCACAGATATAGAAAAGGTTGTAGCAAATCCCTGGTCAAGTAGGACTTCATGTCGGTCACTACCCTGCACCTCACAGCTGTTTAAAATGTCATGCAATGGAGGAGAGGGCACTCAGAGGACACCCTCTGCTTCAGATTGAGGCGGATCTCCAAGCAGGAGAGGGCCTGTGGTTCTCCTGCTGAGCACTTCGGACTGTAACCAGCAAACAGGCAGCGCTGCTCACCCCCACCACACACCTCGCGACTCCCTGTGGCACTTCAGCAGGCTTTACCAACGTGGATTCTCACAACACCCCTGTGAGGTAGGTACGTATTGTTATTCCCCCTCTGTGTGGATGGGGGACTGAGCCAAACAGCCCAAGGCTACAGAGTCGGTGGCAGAGCTGGAGTGAGAGTAACGCAGAGTCCTGTGTGCTCGGATCGCTGTCACACCACTCTCGCACGGCAAATTGTGCTTCTGACCTGGTAAGTTTTTAGCCTTTTGCCAAATTAAAGGAATTGGAATTCTTCATTTTAAATGAGGGGAGGACGGGGGGGGAAACAACGTGTTGTCTGATAGCCTTCTGTTCATTGGCATACGCCTTCCCCTCCCCAAAACCATCACCATTACCCATCTCTTGGAATGAGCAGCTTCCAAGACGGGCGTGGGGGTGAGGCTGCTGAGTTTGCTTTTTTTAACCAAGTTCATCTCTACTGTGGGTCAGAAGTACTTCTTTCAGAGTCTGTTCACTGCAATACTGTTATTCTGGTGTAGCTGCTTTTAGAGATGATGAGAATCACCTGTTCCTCTCCTTCCCACTAATGTCCTTTTCCTCACCTCAGCCAAAAGCACTCTTTGGTGGATAATAAGATTGGTCAGATATAGGTACAGTGGCCTCAGAAAGCATGCTGTTCATGTCTGTCTTCATCATGTCAGCTTTCTTGGCTGGTGTTTCACCTCCCAGATTCTCTGCTAGAGCAGTACCTGCTCTGTTGCCTTCTGATATTCAAAGGGACACTGTCAAGTAATCTGAATGAAAAACATGACCCTGCCTTAAGACTCTATCCTCCATCTCCAGCATTACAGAATGGCTGGTAGATCAAACATGGGGGCTAAATTTGACACGTCCCCCAGTGCAGAAACATTCAACCTATAACAGCCTTGCTGCTGTGGGGGCTTGTGGCTTGCATTTGCCACGGCTCCATTAAAAGCTGTGGGAGGTGTTGGTGCAATGACAGCAGGCAGTCGGACACAGCCACTGCACACTGCTTCTCAGCACATCTGCAGAATGGGCATGGTTTGGCTGAAGTCACAGCAATTTTTGGGAGGGCTGAGTTCAGGCTTGATCACTGCAGGCTCATTTTTTTTGGACTCCTGAGCTGCTGCTCCTCAGTGAGCCGATCTCTCTGTTTTTGGGCTTTCTACTCTGATGCTTGCTTTGTGGCAGCTGCATCAGCAAAAGAGCTTAGCCTCAGAGAGCTGGGAGATGCACTCCATGGAGCGAGGACAGTGAGCAGGAAATTGGAAACATGGATCTCTTCCTGTTGCAGATGAAAGGTGGAGAAGGACAAGGATGGTAAAAGCAATGAGGTGAGTAGAGAAAACACTACATGCCAAATGGAAAATAACAATATCAGTAGGGAAAGAAATTTTATTTCCAAGATTGTAAGAGAATATTACAAACAATGGAGAGTAAAAAAAGCCCGAACTCTAAAAACTATTTAAAAAGTACTTGACAGTGTCCCTTTAATATCCACAAATGATTCAGCCATTGTGCACTGAAAGAGAACGTTCCTGAAGAGCAACAAGTACCTTCGTGGATATATCCTAGAGAAGGAGACTTATTAGAAGTATTATGTATTTGATCAGCAACTGTGCTCCCTCTTCAGACTAACTCTCTGTTGAGCTACTGAATGGAATAGACTCTGTAACAAACAAACTGGATGTGAAAGGTTCAGCCTACAAGATTGAGACTGTTACATATTGAGCAGCAGGGGTAAAGACACAGAAAAAAAAAAAAAAAAAAACCCACATATTTCTCAAATGTATGAGTACGTGAATCAGCAAAGTACCAGAAACCCACAGAGATGGGTCAGCTTTCTGTGACTGGAGTAAAATGAAAGGAAATTAACCTGGGATGCCTGCATGGAAAAATGGTGCGTGAATGGGAAAGATCTGGATGCTGGATTTGGGGTTATGAAGGCATAAATCATACCAGTACTTGTGCTTGAAACACCTGCGGAGCATTTGTACAAAATTCGCCAAAAATGCCTATACGTTGAATAAAGGTCATGGAATGCCCTCCCTCCCCTCCCTCCCAACTCCACCCTCACAAACCCTTTGTCAGGAACATTATGAAAAATCACAATTTTTGTTTTGGTGAAATTTGGGGACGCCTGGGCTTTGTTGCATTTTCTTGGCGAGATGATTCAACGGTCAGTTGTTGTTGTGTTTGGGTTTTTTTTTCCCATAAATCACTACTGAAAAATCCCCAGCCATTTCACTTCAGATATCCTATGGTAAATCGAACAAGGTTCCAGAATGACTCATGAACAAAACGACTCATAGCCCTGGTTAATCACAGTCTGAAAAAAAAAAAAAAATACTCCAAATATTTCATTCCCTTCCTGGTTTATATAAATCTCACACTTGCGTGTGTGTGTGTGTGTAGGGTGGGTGTGTACAGAGCATCACCTATTCCAGGTAATAGGATTTGTAAGACATGCTAAACCGTCTGTTCCTCTGCTTCCCCAGAACTCTGCCTACTCAGTTTTTAGTCTGTATTGCACTTGTTTTGTTGTTTTTTTTTTTTTCTTTTTGTGATTTGTGTGGTTGTTTTTGTTTTGTTTTGTTTTGTTTTTCCCTTTTTTTTTTTTTAAACTGGCTGGAAAACATTAACCTCTTTAGCATGAGTGTGCAGCTCTCCCTCCACCTGTTTTCTCCTCAGCTGGCCAGGTGCCGCCTCTTATATCTTGTGCAGTTACCGAAAAAAAAAGAAAAGAAGGAACAGAAGAAGAAGAAAAGAAAAGAATAAAAGGGAAGAGAAAGAAAAAGGCACACCATGCTCCTCTGCGTTACGAGTTCTGCGTCTCCTCCGCTCTGCGTTAAGGCCTCCTGAATTCCTCGGCTCAGACCGTCGTGACCCTCATGACGAGCTCTCTGTTACTACTAGACTGACTCCTCTGTTCGTGAGGCCTCAGGTGGCTGAGTATATGCAGGATGGTGTAAGCACAGTGGTGGTCAGAGAGGGTGCCTGTGGCATGGCCGGCGGCCCGGGCCCCGCTGTCGGCCGGAGCGGAGTTAGTGGCTGTACCACCAGTGGAGGACGAGTGGGTGGTTTGGGAGGAGGGACGCTGATTTGTCCTGGTCCCTGTTTTTTGTTCCTCCATGTCCTTTGTTTTGTCATAGTTCAGCACTTTCCACTGCTGATTGACCGCCTGCCACCGTTTAAAAATCCGGTAAACTGAGGGCCCTTCGTGTATTATTAGACCTGGAGGGAAGGGGGAAAGAATTAAACATAAAGTAGAGATAAACTTTAGAAGAACCATCATCTTCATCACCCCAGCATCGCGCCCTCCAGCTGGCTGTTCTGCTCAGCTCTCCCTCAGCTTATTCAGTGATATATCATGGGATCACAGAGTCCATGGAAGGGACCCTTACAGGCCATCTGGTCCAACCCCCTGCAGTGAACAGGCACGCCTAAAGCCCCACCAGTGCTCAGAGCCCCTCCATCCTGACCTTGAGTGTCTGCAGGGATGGGACTTCCACCACATCTCTGGGCAACCTGTGCCAGTGCTTCACCTCCCTTATTGCAAAAATTTTTTCTCTCATATGCAGTCTAAATCTCCCCTCTTTCAGTTTGAAACCATTTCTCCTTCTGCTTCTGCTCTGCTGGATCCCTTTCCCCCTGAATTAAAAGGATTACAGCTTCATCTCAGCAATCAATAAACAGGTCTTAAATGCAGCGGAGTGAGTTATGCTCTTACAGCAGAACAGTATCTGTTTACCAATAAATGCCTGAGGTTTATCTATCACTGAGCTGGTTTTGCATGCTGCATAGGCATGATTCACTGTGTGTTTGGAGGGTAAGTAACTGCAGCTGACGTGCTGGTGACGTCTGCTGCACCAACGTCACTGCAAACTCAGAGCACATCTCCCCACACACACTGCAGCGGAGGAGATATGCGCACAGAGGCCAGGGACAGCAGTCAAAAATAAGAAGGGGCTGGCTATACCTGTGAATGGTTTGTCCTTCTCAGCAAATGTTTGCTCATTGGCAAAGCACGTACCTTGTCAGACCTCATCGCTTCCAAGGGGAGAAAACAACACACTTGGAAAAAAAGAGCTTACGTAGTTTCTGCTGTGAGTATGCAGGGAATGCATATGTCCTGTTACCCATCTGTATGCACCTGATAGAACTGATATCTGGGGGATGGCAAGTGGGCTTTAGGACACTTGATTTCTCCGCATTTGAAAGAGAGTGAGCTGCTCAGACCCTTCCACTAGGAGTTAGCTCATCTCCCAGAGCTCTGCCATCCTCCCCACAACTAAAGGGCTGGAAGGATGAGATAATGCCAGAAGTGGTTAGGCAGATGACATTATGTGACTATTAAGCATTGATACCATTCAAGTGACCAAGCTTTGACTATACCCTTTGAATGCAATGCAAGCAGCACTGCCTACAACGGTGTTCTTACCCACTGAGGCTGAACGAAGCTTCCCATGTAGACTGGCTTAGATGATGCACTGTAATACAGTTAATAAGCTTTACTGGAGATTGGGATTTGTGCAATGTGAGAGGGTCTCTGTGTCCTTGATTTGCAGCCATCTGTCTGATAGGAAAGTGCCCTTGTGTAACTGAAGCCATACCAGCAGGTAGGGCACGTACTAGTTGAGTTAGCAGATGCATAACTTCATTCTTCACAACAGTGATGGCTTCACTATTCTTGGTCACCATCAACATTACCAGAAATGTTTGTATTAAGAGCAGTTCTTTTGCCTACCTGTTCCAGGAGTTCAATTACGAGAGCAAAGAACAAAAGACCTACAAGATGCAAGAAGCAAAACCGTACCAAAATGAGGAGGCTGCCTTGTTCACTGAGGGGTGATGATGTTCACAACAGGATACAGTAAGTGGTTTACTGTTATCCCTGATGAATTGAATGTTGGGGCATTACCCTCCATCCAGCTTTCCTGGACTGCTTTTGATGACAGCCAACTACTAAGTAAACCAGTTCCATACAAAAAAACCCAACATATCAGAATGTCATCCTACCCTTAGGGCTGACCTCCCTTTGACCCACCAATGGTGTGCAGATATCTAATTTCTCAGGGCATGCATCTGACTTTACAAACTTTAAATTCTAGGTTTACTGTTGTCTGAGTTTCTAGCCCTTCTGATTCTAAACACAACTAGAAGCCCTACTGACTTGATCACAAATTAGCTTCAGGGGGACTCACATTCATCTTAATGTAGTGCTGAGCTTGTTTACTGGCTGTAGAAGTAATTACATGAGTTAATTTAAGTATTCAAATCTAGCTATTTTGGGACATGGAAAATAGATGGGAAGTAAAATGGGCTAAAAATATGGGTGAGATCCTTATTCTGGTTCTCATAAACCACTGAGATTGCACAGGTATAATCCTGTAATGATGCCAGCTTTTCAAAATGAAACAATATGATGTCATAACAAAACAAAACAAAAAAAAGGTGGTTTTTTCCTGTCTAGTTTGGAACATGGTTGAGAATTCTGACATCTTCTGATCAAAGCATAACCATAAAAAGCAGGACTTAGGGAAAGCCTGCAGCTCCATCCAAGGAGACAGCTTTGAAGCAGGGCTAAAGTGGATTGGTCCATGACAAGGGACATTAGACACATATTTAAATGAGCTGTCTGATGTGTAATGAATGAAATTCCACTCTGATCAATGACAGAGCCAATATTTCTCTGAGACCACTTTAAGCCTTGGATAAAAGAACCAAAATCAAATATTTTCTCCTTGGCTGTAGAACATCCTCCATAGAATCAAATCCATTCTCCAAAGTATTAAACACTGAGCCAGGACTGTAAATCTGTTCTTAATTACCTTATCACAAATATTTAATGCGCAGGCTGATTCAAGAGGGCTGTTTATAAAATTCTTGTTTGTTTGCCTTCTAATTATAAATGTTTATGATCTTATGCAATTAGCTGTGTGATGCTGATGGATGGGTTGCTGAGTCAACTGAGCACCTGTTTTCTTAGATAATTTTGGTTTCCAAATATTTATGAAACTACAAAATAACTTGTTTTCCTCTGTATTTGCGGGGCTCTAAATTACTTATCGATTTCCCAGTGTCAAGCTCGGGAAGCTGTAAAATTAAAAAAGAACCAAGCAGAGGGGTGGGCAGGGAGGCGGAAGTAACAGTGATTCATTTGCAGCAGAGAATGCCAAGATTAAGCAAGAGTCCATCACTTCATATCATCTTGCAGGATGCTTAACACTTGAAACAAATTTGGTCTGCCTGAGTTAAATTAGGTTTGGAATTCCTACGTTCAGCTGTGTGTACCCCCTTCCAGAAATACTCCTCCCTTGAGATTCATTCTGGTTAGGAGAGCTGAATCTTTGCAATTAAAGGCCAGAGAAAAGTGGAAAATCCTTCACGAAGAACTGTGTTCAACTGCAAGCATCCAGCTGGAAGCAATTATTCCGTAAGCCAAATCCTCTATATGTGGGGAAGATAGCAATTTGGTGCGAACTCCTCTCTTTGTGAACTTTTCTCCCTCCAACTCAGAAATATCTCTATGAGAATTTCAGATGGATTCCAGTAGTGGCCTAATCCTTTTCCACTCCTCCCAAGTTTATCCTTCCCTCTTCTGCTCCACAAAATCTGTTCTCAACATATCCTATGTGAAAGACATCCTCTTCAGAAGTAAAATCTGTGTGAGTTTCACACAAATCTGCATTGCTCCAGATTGTTGCCAGGTCCATGAAATTCCTTTTTGCAGTGCTGGTGAAATGAGGCTCCTAGAGAACGTAAGTGCTGAAGATGAGTCCTTCTCATTTTGTTTACTCATGCAGAGACCTGACTGGACCAGTATCAGAGCAGATTCCTTGAACTGAAAATGGTTGAATGTCAGGGGAAATAATCAGGGAACTTACCATATATGCTTGTCTTGCTTATATGATTTAACTCTTATGTCTGTTTGTTTCCATGATAGAGGCATAATAAAAAGCCAGACTGAGCTCTGGTCATGCTTAAAACATGCTAAACTCAACAGTACACAAAGGATACTATATTTATCTCTTTTTGCTATATTCACTCTCTTATACATCAGACTTTCTTGCTCCTTCTATTATGACTTTATTACTCTGCATGAGTCCATGCAGAGTCAGACCATGGGCAGCTCTGAGGAGCTGTGTAGTGTCTAGCCAGAAAAATCACTTGAAGTTGGGCAGGCAAAGATTGTGCCAGTGCAGTTGCATACACATGACCCAAGCAGCTGAGAAAGCAAGCTGACAACTGTTGAGTCTGGGAAGGATCTAGCTCTTCCATCTATCCACCAACCTCATTCACATTCTCTTCCTAGAACAAAGACATTTGTCCAATTTCTTTTCCAGATGATCAAGCTGCAGTCTGCAACAGAGCTAGCACTGCTGAAAGCAGTTCCAGTTCCACGTTCTACTGATTTGCACAGCTATGCCTGAGCTTCTTCACACCTAAGATGCAGGAATTGGAAAGAAGAGCATGACCAAGGGTGATGGCCCAGAGATAAGGCTGATATCACTGTAGGGCTTCTCTGAGCCTTGCAATACCTGCCCTGGGTTTAGTTGGAACAGAGGTGCATTGCCACTGTTGAGCCTGTGAGAGCTCAAGAGAGACCCTCAGTAGCCAGAATGGCTGTTGGCAGAGCATGGGCAAAAAAAAAAATATTAAAGAACACAAATTTGAGCCTCCAGATTGGCAAGAGGGGATCAGCTAAGGTACCAGCATCCTGTGAGATTAACCCAAGAGGCTGCAAGTCTTCAATTTACAGCAACTTTGGAGCAGCAGTTTCCCAGAAATGACAAGCAGTCACCTTGTTCACACTGTCAGCTCTACCACCAAGCGATCTTTTCTCCAGGACCTCCAGCCTCTAATTAATCTTCCCCTCATTCCAACACTTGCCATGCATTTTCTTGAAACAGACAGGTAAATTCTTGGGGCAGAAACTTTTTCTCCCATTTGCCACTAAAGAAACCATGAAAACAAGACCTTTGCTGACAGTGAGTGGTAGTTTGCCCTTGTGCTGTCACTCACATTATCTACAGGAACAAAAATCACAATCTGTCCTACCCAGTTACTCTGTCCTGCTTCTCATAAAGCCCCTGCCCTGTAATCTGAGCTGTCATCTCGTTTCCACCTTCAGCAGCTCTTCCACCATTCCGTTTCCTTTCCAAGTGCAGTTTCACCTCAGCCATACAGCTGCCATGCTTTTGCCTGTTTCTGACGCTTTCCTTGCTGAGTGT